GGGTGGATCCTGAGCACACGTCATTCCAGAAGAAATGGGACCGTGCGGCCCTTACATGTGCTGGCAGCGCCTTGTGAGGCAATGGGAGAGGAGGTGGCCGAGGGGGTGGAGCCTGATGGAAGGAGCAGCAGGCCGGGACCAGGGCTCCTAGTTCTGGTGGCCCATCTTTTGTCACCACAGGCGAGTTGCATGTCACTCTGCTTTAACTTCACCGCCTGTGAAATAGGCATGGTAGAATTGAGGGGGATGTTGAATTAGAAACCAGAGAAGGTGCAATTAGAAGAAAAATGCTACAGCCCACAGCCCACTGTGGCCGATTACATTTCAACTGAAAACTTGCCGGATGAAAAGAGGTCCATTTCCAGTGTTATCGAGGGCATCAGCATACACAGACCGACCTGGGGAGTTCGCTCTGGTGGGGCTGACCTGTCTATGACATGGAAGTGTTTCATACTGGAAGTTCTCGAGGCACTTAAAATATGCGTGGCCTATTTTGAAGTCTGCAATGAAAGGGAATTGACACAAGAGAGGCATTTTACTACCATGGGGCTGAGATGTTTTCTGAATTTTAGAGTGGTCATCTTTCCCAATCGGAGTGGCAGAGATAGTCATTACAGACGGGAGCCAGAATGCCCTCTTCCTGTCCCTTTGATCTCCAGTGTTCCAGAAGGCTTTTGTGCGTACCAGGCCTCCGACGGAGGTTGGGGGGTGACCTCAGCACCTAAGGACATGCTACCGGAGGCTGGACTGCACATTCCCACGCAGAATAGAATCCTGTGCCCCAACTGGGGACCACGGCCGGGGGGCCTGAAGCCAGGGAGAGGGTGTTCTAATTAGGAGAGCTGTGTGTTTCGTTCATTGCCCACTTTGGGGAGAATTCTTGCTGTCTAGAAGACAATGTGATGATTTGGGTCACCGGGTAGGTGTTACAGGGATGTTTGCCACAGGGAGTTCGAGGCCATCAAACAGCCAGGTGTGGGGCTTTAGGTCCCAGAGGAAGATCACCGTTTGGGATGGTGGCTGGAGGGGAACGGATCTGAGGGGGCCTGTGTGACGGTACAATGGGCCACACACTTCACTGTACCCCAGAATTATCTGGAGACTTGCTTGCTTATTTATTTCTTGATTGGCCACCATTCTTTATTTAACACAGGAAAATCTCCTTTCTTGCTGAATATCTGCAGTCACTTAATTACCCAACTTTGATGACAAGTTCCCTCCTTGGTGCTGCTGCTGTCCCTGTCTCTGTCCCCTGTGAAAGCAACAGCAGCCTTCTGCAGGTTTTAGCAACATCAGGCCCCCTTTTGTGCGACCTGGGACTTTCAAGCCCACAGGGAGGGGCCTTGGTAACTTTGCTTTCACAGACTCATCCATCGAACACCCACGTTTACTACAAGTTCAAGAAGGATGGACACGCACACGAGATCCACAGAGGTATCAATAGCACCCTTTCGTCAGCCCCAGTGGGAAGAGAATTCAGAGTGTTGTAAAAGACTTGAATGTTTCACAAAGATTTTGTTTTGGTGACTTTCCTTTAATCGAAATGTTTCCCTTTTTAGGGGGAAAAAAGTAGCTGGCGAGGGCAGGCCCATCAGGGAGGCTAGTCCTCTCGGTTAGCTGTAGGGCGGGTCCTGCTCAGGTAAGCTCCCGGTGCCTCCTGGGCCGCAGGGCCCAGCGCAGACCCACCCTCGGCCTTCCCCGCCTCGGCCTCGTGGAGTGTGGGTCTCCTGGCCTGTTAGAAGCCTGAGATTGTAGCAGGCACGCTCTTCATGTGAATCTCCCTGTGGAGTTGGCCAGGGCTTGGGCTATCTTCTCGAGAGCTGTAGCCTCAATGTTCTGCTGGTTGGGCTTGACAACGTGGTAGCCACGTCTGTCGCCGTCCCGGTTGGTGATGCTTATTGTCATGGGGCTGCAAACCTGGAGCTTAAATCCTGGAGAGAAGGACCCCTGTCTTGTGGGCCTGGTCCCACCGTGCCTGCATGGGCCAAGCCATAGGCACTCAGAGGGAAGTGCATTCGGGGTCCTGGCAGAGACTCACTCAGTAGAGACCACACAGGGCATTGAGCCCCTGCATTCTCATCCTGCCTCTGCAGACACTGGTTGACAAATAAATCCCTTCCTCTCCCAGGGTCTTTGCTTTTCCTCCCTCAGATGAGCCTATGCCCACCTGAGTTCCCTCAGAGTGCTAGAGGAAGGGCAGAGCAAGAGAATAGATGCCAAGCTGGTGTGACACGGCTAGCTTAGTTAAAATGAAAACTTCATTAAAAGTTAAATTAAGAGCCCTGGAGATGCTGAAGTTCTGGGTCTAGAGGAGGCCTGGAACTCTGGCTTTAAACAAGGACCCCAGTGATTCTGATGTACATGGTGAGAAACACCCTGGATTGGTGAGGGCACTGCCATCTCCTAGCCTGGTGACCTTGGGTACCTCTGTCAGCCTCCTCTGTGAGGTGGGATAATAGCGGTACTCACTGCGTAAGGTGGTTATGAGGGTCTTCGTAATGGCATATACGTAGCGCTTACTGTGTTCCAGGCACTGCTCTATTTTACAGATGAAGAAACTGAGGCACAAAGAGATGAAATAAGACAGCTAGTAGGTGGCAGAGCCGGGATTCAAACCCAGGCAGTCTGGCCCCAGAGTCCATTCTCCTAACATCTAGGCCAGTGGTTCTCAAAGTGTGTTCCAGGGACCCCTGGGGGTCTCTGAGACCCTTTCAGGCCCTCCATGAGGTTGGAACGATTTTCATAATCTGAGACGTTATTTTCCTTTTTTACTCTCTTTCTCGAATGAGTGTACAGTGGAGTTTTCAGAGGGTACACGACATGACATCATTCTGGCAGCTAGTGTGTGTGCTTGTCTATTCTTGTGTTTTAAAAATTTCTCACTTTTAATTTCTAATACAGTAAATATCAGTAGCTAAAATCCACGTAAGTGAAATGTCTCTGGGGTCATCAGTAATGTCAGGAGCGAGAGGTGTCCTGAGACCAAAAAGTGTGCGATCTGTTCTCAAGGCTGTGCTGCCCGAAGTGTGGTACTTGTCGAGCATGGAGCACGACACGTCCCCTGGTGGGTGGTTGAAAGAAAAGTTGGTGCCCGTCCTGGGGAATTGTGGCTCTGCCCAGGGCTCACCCGGTGGGTGCGTGGAAACCTCGCTGAGTGTGAGAGTGTATCTGGATCCGCCGGGACCTTCGCAGATGGCACTGCTAACCGTGCTGATTGTGTGTGGTCGGCCAGCTGTCCCCACTGGAGCGTCCATCCTTGGCCCAGGGGTATCTCTATGCTCAGCCCTGACTCAGCGGGAGGGAGCAGACACCCTATTCTGTGGCAGGTCCCTCCCTGGGCGAGGCTGGGCTGGGTGCTGCTGCTGCTGCAGCCCAGCAGGTTCTCAGCTGGGCCGTGCTGGAGGCCTTAGTAACAAATAAATAATTTCTGTGATGTTGGAGTCTTTCGCCAGCGTTTGTTCCAGGCCAGGCCTCACGCTAAGCCACTGCTTTGCCTGCGTTATCTCATTGAACCTTGCACCAACCCATTTTACAGATGAAGAGCCTGAGGCCCAGGGAGGTTCCACTTGTGTGAGGTCCCACAGCTGGTAAGTGGCAGGGCCTGGGACTCAGACTAGGTCTGTCTGACCCAGCCCATGCCCCTAACATGTTTCAGATCTTCAGAATGTTGCTCAGTTCCTCCTGCTCGTGGCAGACTCACTCGGTTTGCAGTGTACCTTTGGGGTTCTGTTCCTTTCCAGGGCCTGTGCAGTCTGCTCTTCCCGTGCCCCAACTTTTAGACCAAGGGTTTTGGAGCAGCAGGGTAAGGTGTGGACAGAGTGCAGGTTTGAATTTGACTCTGCCGTTTGTAACCTTTCTGATCCCACCTGATTGCGCCCCCTCAACAGCGCATCTAAAACTCACACTGAGGTGCTCAGTAAGTGGGGGTCTCCACTGTCCCAGGACTAGCAAGGAGCTATGGTCTCTCTCAGAATCTTGCCCCAGATCAGCTGCATCAGCATCTCCAGGAGAAATCTCTGGATTTCTGGGCCACGCCCTGGCTCACTGCCGTGGAGCTCTGCGGGCAGGGCTGGGGCACCCGCGTTTTCAGCGAACAGCCCCCGGTGGACCCCAAAGCCAGGCGTTCCTTGCCTTAGAGGTTGGGGGCTACATTCACCCCTCAGGAGAGAACAGATAGTGGTGGTGACCCTGTTTGGATAGCTCTTTATCAGTAAGGTGACCGTATAATTTGTTGCCTAAACTGGAACACTTTTGAGCATGAAAAGGGACACCATTAATAGCCACACCAGGACCTGAGGAGTAAACCAGGACTTTCCTGGCAAACATGTCACTATTATCAGTTCTCTTGTCATCTTTCTGATGGCCCTGGAGACGCTATTCCCTTCCTATTAGAGATGGGGAAACTGAGACCCAGAGAAGATTGCTTCTGGCCACACAGTTTTAACCCTGGTCCTTGATTCCAGAATGCCTTCTTGGCCGAGTCGTTGGTGCTGGTCACTCAAGCAGAGCACTGGTGTGGGGGTGTGGGCGCCTCCAGATTCTGTAGTGTTGGAATCTTTTAAAAACTAGCATAACCTTGGTAATGAGAAAAACCTACATTAAAGCCGTAACACACACATCTAGAAGAGATAAAAACATTGGATCCTGCCAGCAGAAAGGAAGCGAGTCCTGCGTATGCTTGTGCTGCCTCTTCTCAGTCCCTGGGGCTCCCTCCTGGGGCCTGGCTGTGACCCCTCTGTCACACAGATGGTTGATCGATGTCCCTCTGGGCAGAGTGACAGGGAGAGGAATGCTGACCCCAGCTCTTGTGTCAGAGCAGACATTCTATTCGGGTCAGTCAATTTCTTCTTCTTCTGATTGCCTAGGGGTTTTTTTTTGTTCCCTGGCGAGGAGGCGTGCATGTGACAGCCCGTGTTTGTGGCCTGCGGAGAGGACCACAGTGCAGAGAATACTTGAGGGAAACCCGAGGTTGTCAGTGTACTAAATATAACAATCAGCGACACACTCGAGCCTGTGATGTTGGAGCCCACAGAGTCCCAAGTGTGAAGGTTGAGTGTATTTCTGGTTCAGACAGAAATAGACACCTACCAGAGGGTGTGCTGGCATCAGGGCTCGCAGGCGGCCCCGGGCCAGATTTAGTCTCTGTCCTGGGTTGCCTGGCTCTCTCCTCCTGCCCCTTCCTGTCTGCTCCTTGGGGAGCTTCATCTAACATCATGAGGAATCTTGGTTTTGCCTCTGGCTGCCGAGTGATTTCACGTATCCTGCTGTTCACAGTTTGGGTGGAAGGAGCCTCTCCTTGGTCTCCCTGGGGACAGGGGATGGCCAGGGTGGCCGGAATGTGCTCAGTGGGACTCTTGCCCCTCAAGCCTCCCTGTGGAGTGAAAGCATCCTTGGGAAACTCCAGTTTGTCTATGACAGATAATATATATGGGCTCGGGGGTCCTTCCCCCCGAGCTGCCCCTTCCTCACTTCAGTGTCGTTCTGTGTTCACAGGGAAAGATGGAGACGCTGAAAGACAAGACCCTGGAGGAGCTGGAGGCGATGCAGAATGACCCGGAGGCCATTGACCAGCTGGCCCAGGAGTCCCCTGAGGTAGAGGAAGGGTGTCATGGGGCCAAAGAAAGGCCAGCAGATGGGACTGACGCCCGCTTAAGGACGCTTGCTTTCTGGGAGTTTGGGCCAAGGTTGTCTCCCTTTTCTGTGGCCTTCACCCTGGATCTAGCCTGAGGAGCCTCTGAGGTCTCAGTGTCGTTCCTGGGCCCTCTGAGAGTTCTAGGGGCAGTGCTAGGGAGCCTGGGGCCCCCACGTGAACTCAGGCCTCTGGTGCCTCCCAGGGACCCACATACCCCAGGAGCTCCCACATACCGTCCTGGCCTGAATCTGGAGGCAGTTCCTGAATGTACTGTACTGTCTTGTAGCTGCCTTTCCCCAAGGGCCTCGCCTGGCCCTGCCTCTCCAGGAGGGGCCATTCTTGGGCTGGGATATAGGCTCATTTCCTGTTTGACCCCGTTTCCTACCATAACTGGCACCTAATCGTCTCAGCTCCTCATCACAGTCCTCCTGGGAATGAAATAACCCTCCTGAACGTATGGGGCTGTACACTTTATAAAGGGCTTTCCCTGTCTCCACGTCTCCTCGACCCTGCGACTCCCCTGCGAGGTAGGAGAGGTCAGGCGACTGGATGTGGCCACAGCGCTGGCTATACTCACAGTCACACCTTGAGTGGCTGCAGCCTGGCGACTGCTCTGGAAGCTACCGCCTGCTGCCCCTAAGCTAAGGAGAGACACAGCCACGTTTAATACCGAGCTCATTTGATTCGCATTTGGAATGTGTTTTTATTTCTGCTGATGAACAGCTGTGGTGTGTCTTGTCTGTGCATACACAATATGCTGCCAAAAAAAGGAGGCCACCCCACCCAGCTCCTCCTGCTTCCTCCTCCCCAGAGCACGTCCCTCGCTGTAAGGGGGACACACAGGGTGGATGTGCTCCCTTGCTCGTGTTCTCGCTGCCCCCCACCACCCCTCCACTCAGATGAGCCATCTGTGCTGGGGCTGCAGGGGCCGGAGTATGGGACAGGGTATGAGGAGAGGTCCGGGGATTCCCTGTGGCCCGTCCTGCCGCCCTGAGCTCGTTCAGTGAGGGCGTGATGCAAAGCTTGTCTTGGTTAAGCTCCAAGGCCGACTCAAACGGTTAATTAGGCCATGAGCCCTGCCAGGGCCGGGCTCTGAGCTGGCACGGCGCCGGGCTCAGCGCACGTCCTCACTCCTTGATCTTCCATTCTGCGTCTGTCACATAGGAAGCACCAAGTGTTTCTTGAACCTTCCGAGGCCTGCTCTAGAGTGCACGACACTTCACAGAAGCAAGCTTGACATAATGTAATTAGTTGGCCTCCAAGCTCAGGCGGCTGATAGGATCTGTGGCACAGCGCAGAATCTCGGAAAATGTGAACAGGAACGACCTCTTGGACAAAAGGCAACTTGAATTCTGTGGTGTGCAGCCATGCCTGACTGATTGATTCGAGTTCTCTGAGGGGAAAAACACTCATGGGATCAGAGGACGTGAAGTAGGGCGAGCTGCTTGACTTCAGAATGCCGTGGACGAGGTTCTCTCTCGTGGGCTGTGAAGCATAAGTGAGTCTCTGTGGGACTGTGAGGCGGGATGCGAGCTCATTAGTTTGGGATGTGGACGTTGCTTGGAGAAAAGAGTTAGTGGGAACATCTCTCCATGTAGAAGAGTGAATGGTGGCGTCGAGGCAGGCGGGCGCGGTGCTGGAACTGTCTTAGTGACCTCTCATAAATGACTGGTGGAGGGCTTCATAGTGAAGCCCTAATGGAGAAAGACTGGGGGAGGCTGTGGGCAGAGGGGGCAGAAATAGAGGGGACAAGGTTTAGGGGAAAGCGATACAGCGTAGATTTATTGGTTGAGACCCAGGGAAAAGACAGTGGATGTATGAAGAGGATACGTCTGTTACCACGTACATACCCAGGTTCTTTACCCGCCACACAAGAGGGGCCAAATAAAACTGGAACACCAGGCTTATTGCAAGGAAGGAGTTTTTATTTCAGGTGACGTCAGCTGGGAGACGAGAGCTCTCAAATTTGTCTTGTCTCCCCGAAAGACTGGAGGCAAGGGGTTTTAAAGGTTGTGAGGAATGTGGCTGCTGGTAGGGACGGGGAGCCTGTGGCCCTGCTGGTCAGCGCTTTCCCATCAGCCTGTGTTTGGCCTTGTGAGGCTGCTGGCAGGGAGGGGGATGGCGAGATAAGGGAATCGCAAGTGGGTGTCCTTCAACCGTCTCTGTGGTGGAGGGTGGATTCTGGTGCCAGGGAGTCAAGCAGTTGAGGTCTGAGAAGCTTTAGCTTCTTGACATCAGTTTCCCTGTAACAAACCTCAAGAACTGGTAATTAGCCAAAACTTCGGTGTGAGCCCAGCTTGAGGCCACCTGGGCTTTTAACAATTTGTGTCTCTATCTGCCTTGTGAAGTTCAGGGATACAAACGTTTAAAAAAAAAACCCAATATTTACATATGAATGTAACTTAGAGAAACAGGGATAGAGGGTGAGTGTTTTTGGTTTTAACTCCATATATTCTGGGTTTAATATAGGGGAACTGATAGCAGGGCCGCTATCACGCCCACTGAGGATCCCTGGGGCCCCCAAGGGGCAGCTGAGGCCTTCAGCCCTCCCACTCTGTGTCAGCCACAGAAGTAAGGAAAAGCTTTGATGGCTAATAAAAATGAGATCGAAACTCCACGGTGTTGGCATCCCTGAGTCCCTGTGTTTGCCGAGTGGCTCAGGAGGGTGTCTGTGGCCAGCGGCCGTGTCTGTGGGGGGAGGTGGCTGTGGCATCCCTCTTCCCAGTCTGGAGCACGAAGCGCAGGCTCGAGGCCCTGTGGCTGGGGACCGCAGGAGGGCAGGCCTCCCTGAAGCCCTCTCATCCAGGATGCCTGGTCTGCATCTGGTGGGGGACAAGCCAGTTTGTCACAAGCTGACCCTGGCAGAGAAGCTGCACGGTGGCTCCCGTGTGGAAGCTGGTCTTGCTGGGCTGTGCCTGAGCCCTGGGTGCGTGCTGAGTCCTCTCTTCTGCCACATGGTGCTGTTGGTGTATTGTCCCTAGTGTCTCGGGGTGGCAGGTCTGACGCTCCGCCCTCCTCTCAGTAAAGAGGACGCCCTGGCACGTGGTTGGGGCTTCAGGTCAGAGCAGGTGGGGAAGGGTTCCCGTGGCTGCCGCCTCACTGGTGACGACAGCACAGGACCTGGCCAAGGGCAGAGTGCTCCTTGGCTTGGGAGAGTGCTTTCAGCAGGCACGTCCAGGTGCAAAGGTTGGCATCAGGGCTTCCGGTGGCCACAGGTGGCCTGTGTTGGTGGGAGTCCTCTGCTGACCATGGGGACTCCCCTCCAGTTCTTGGGGCCCATCCATTAGTTCATGTGCACAGCTTCTCTGCAGAACACACATGTGGCTTAGGAGGCAGGGACAAGTCTCTCCTGAATCAGCATCACGGTCTGGCCCTGGCTTTCTCCATCTTCAGAGTAACTTTATTTGGGGGCCTCATTGTGTGTCTGGCCTGTGGCCTGGCTGGGCCACCTTAGTCCACCTCATAGTAGGTCTCACGACTCTGAATCTTGGGGATAAGTGGTTGGGACTTGTGGTCCCTTCTCTCGTGGAAAGCCTCTGACTTCTGCACAGCCCCTGGTGGGCCTGGCCCCTGCTCCTCACGTGGCCTTGGGCAAGCTAAGAGCCTTCAGTTCCATTTCCCACATGTATCCACCACACAAGCTGTTGGATTAAGGATTCGGGGGGTGCCTACGTCGGAGGGCTTTGCTCAGAGTTTGAACCCAGGTTCCTCTGACTCTAGTTGAGGCTGGGTATTGCCCGGTCCCCCTGTGGTGAGTGATGAGTTCCAGAAGCCCAGGTGCAGTCTGCCATGAGGTGTTTCTTACGGTCAAGTGTCCTGCTCTTTCAGGTCCAGGACCTGCAGCTGGAACGGGAGATGGCACTGGCTACCAACCGGAGCCTGGCCGAGCGGAACCTGGAGTTCCAGGGTCCCCTGGAGATCAGCCGCTCAAACCTCTCGGACAAGTACCAGGAGCTCCGGAAGCTTGTGGAGCGGTGCCAGGAGCAGAAGGCAAAGCTGGGTAGGGATGGCTGGGAGTGTGCCGTGGGGGCGCTCCTCTGTTAACTCAGGGTCCGCATTCAAGGTTGGACTTGGGGGAGCTGCTGGAATGGCCTGGAAGGATAGATTCCCTCTCCCTTGCCCAGGACAGGACAGGGCCAGCAGTTCCTGAGGGTCTCCATGTCCCCAGCCCTGTGCTGAGTGCTCTACGTACACTTTTTCACAACAGACATATAAGGGTTGGCATTGTTGTTATTCTCATTTCATAGATGAGAGAAATGAGACTGAGAGAGATTCAAGAGTTGGCCAGGGTTACACAGCTAGATAGAGGTGGAGCTGGGATCTGAGTCCAGAGAGCCTGTGTCCTACACTGCTGCTGTTGACTCGGCCAGCTCAGCTTCTGCTCTTTACAGAGCTGGTCCGAGCTCTCTGTGTCCTGGGACACACCTGTGGAAGTGGGTGGGGCTGTCCTGGTCTTGATGGTGAAGGACTTGATGCTCAGACAGGTGAAGTAACCTTCCCCTGTGAGGTAGAACAGGGTCGGGGCGGGTCTGTGGGCTCCGAAGCCTGAGTCCTCTTGCTTCCCAGGCTGGCGTCGAGCAGACAGATCAGCCAAGGTCTGGGCTGGGCTCCTCTCTGCTCTGAAAGGTGACCTAAGGGAACTGGACCAAAAGGGGCTCTGCAGCAGACTCAGCACCTCAGTGCACACAGAGGACACTTGGAGAGCCTTGGCTGAGACCTTGGCCTCCAACCCTGCATCGAGAGGCACTTCTGAAATGGCTACCTTCCCTTCCAGAGAAATTTTCTTCAGCTCTGCAGCCAGCGACCTTGTTGGACCTTCTGCAGGTCGAAGGCATGAAGATTGAGGAAGAGTCGGAGGTGAGATGGCCCTTGACACCCCCTCTTCCTTGAGTAGAGTGTCAGCCCTGGAGCAGGAGCCCTCGTAGTGAGCACCGGCTGTCACAAAGTGTGGGACAGGGCACTTTAGTAGCCTTGAGTCCCAGTGGAGGGCCTTTTGGATGCAGATGACAGGAATGCAGTCTCACCAGCTGAAGCAGAAGTGGGCGACTCACGGCCAGGCCACCGGCAGCTGGCAGACCCGGATGGAAGGCAGTACAGCGGGAGCCCTTGAGGACTGAAGCCAGCCCCCAGCCCCCTCTTCTCCTGGGGCTGCCTGGTCTCTCTTTCCTGCTTCCCTCTGGGCATCTCTTCAGTCTCTGTGGGCAGACTGGCTCTCTCTACTTCTCCGTGCTCTGAGCGAAGGAAGCTTCCAGGTCCTCCCTGCCCTGGGCTAGCCTGCACTAGCAACCGAGTAGCTAGTGTTCCCCGGTCATTCAACATGTACATGCAGTAGCCACAGTGGGCCTGGCACGATGCCAGGGGCGGGGGACAGCAGTGACCATGACAGACTCTGCCCGCCCTCCAGGAGCTGACATTCTGGTGAGGGAGAGAGTAAATAAACGAGCATGTGTAATATGTCAACAGTAATAAGGGCCGGGAAGAGAAATTCCAAAATGGGGACCAGAGAAGGCAGGGAGCGCCTGAGGCGCATGGAGAGGGGAGGCCCGCAGCTGATCTTTGACCTGGGGAACATGGGTGGCCTTGATCCCAGCAGGCCCCTGTTGTCACCAGACCTTGTGTCTTCCAGGCCATGGCTGAGAAGTTCCTGGAAGGTGAGGTGCCCTTGGAAACGTTTCTGGAGAACTTTTCCTCCATGAGGACGCTGTCCCATCTGCGCCGGGTTCGCGTGGAGAAGCTCCAGGACGTGATAAGGAAGCCCAGAGCTTCCCAGGAGCTGGCTGGTGACGCCCCTCCTCCCCGCCCGCCACCCCCACCTCGCCCAGCCCCGCAGGCAACGCCCCCTCTGGCCGAAGAGCCACTGCAGTCATCAGCGGTGCCTCCCTTCCCTTTGCCCTACAGCCCGTCTCCCAGCATGCCCGTGGGCTCCACCGCCCAAGGCGTGCTCCCCCCGGCCCCCTTCCCGGTGGTGTCCCAGCCCTCCTTCTCCTACAGTGGGCCTTTGGGCCCCCCGTACTCATCAGCCCAGCCAGGACCCAGGGCTGCTGCTGCGGGCTACTCCTGGTCCCCACAGAGGAGCACCCCGCCCCGGCCGGGCTATCCCGTGGCCCCCTCTGGTGCCTCTGGCCCCGGCTACCCCATGGCAGGGAGCCGGGCCCCCAGTCCTGGTTATCCTCAGCAGACCCCCTACCTCTCACCAGGAGGAATACCTCCCTACCCAACACAGCCCCAGCTCCCCAGCTTGCCAGGCCAGCCCCAGCCCTCAGGCCCCTCTCAGCCGCCCTATCCCCCTGGGCCCGCCCCTCCCTATGGATTTCCACCACCTCAGGGTCCTGCCTGGCCTGGGTACTAGACACAGTCCTGGCCCTTGGCCCTTCCCTACTTCCGCCTCTACCGCAACTTTAGGCCCACCCTACGCGAGATTCGAGGTTAAATTGCAAGTGGAGTTGGCGCTCCTTGTGGACTTGTGTCGGCACACCAGCGCCTTGGGGGGACCTGGCTGGGAGCACGCGGGCCCAGAAAGGCAGTGTGACCGGCTTGGCCGCACCAGATGTCACTGCCCTTACTGGCCTCCCCGGGGAAGGGAAGGCATCCTTTCAGTGACTGGCTTTCGGCTTTCTGGTGCTGGCCAGGCGGGGCGTCCAGTCGCTCTCCGTGGATGTGAGCCAGCGGATACATGCGTTTGTGGACATCTTGTGCCTGCGCTCACAGGCACCTGAACCAAATCAGCGTTATCTTGGCGGCAAAGTGGCCAGGTCTTTGGCCGCTGCTCATTCCCTCCCTCTCCCTGGGATTTGGCATATTCCTCGTGGCACCCATGCTGAGGAGTGCAGCTGTTCGTGTCCATCTGGTCCATTCAAGGATGGCCTGCCCCACACACCATAACTAGGGTTGGATCAGAAGGAGAAAACAGTTAGGAAAAACGCGTCATAACTTTTAAGTCACATCAAGCCATAATTGAACTCTGCTAGGTGGATGTCAGAGAAGCTTGTCCTGTCTGCTGGTTTGAACCACAGCAGCAGAGCCAGCACAGTGAGAAGGCTGGGGACTGAAGGTGGACCCCAGACCTTGCTGCCGCCAGTTGGAAAATCTGGGGGACCACCGTAGACCCTCTGGCTGGAGAAGAGGGAGCAGCTCTGGCGCAGGAGATTGTCGTCACATCGGGGCTCATTTAGGAGCGGAGGGCTGGTCGCCTCCTTGCCACCGTCTCTTCTCTGGGCCCCTCCACTTCCGGTTGGCTTTTCTGAGGCCCTCCCCATCCATCCATCCACTCCTTTAGTGCCTTGAATCTCATTCACAGCAGTCTCCTCCCTTCATCCCCTTCCTCTGGCTCCCTTGATGTAGCTCTCCCCCCTCCCAGTATCCTTCCTAAGACAGACATCAAAAGATGCCCTAACAGTAACCTCCCAGTGGTGCTTTCTAAAACACCATCACGATTTCGGAGTCCGTTTCTTTGCATCTCTCTTGTCTTCAGAATGTAAAGGGCAAGGATTGTGACTCCGTGCCACATGCAGCCCCCAGCACGTTGGGGATTTTAAGCATGTTCAGTAATAAAAATGACAATACACCAAAGGGGGTGTGATGAGCGAAGCATTAACTTGGTTGTTCTAGATTTGAACCAGGTCTCGAGGGCAGACTCTGGAGCTGCTATTGATTAGAAGTCATATGTGCCTTGAAATGTCCACTACTCGAATACCCAGCATCTGGTGGGCATGGGGTGCTGGGGGCCAACGAGGAAACTCAACCTTCTGGTGCCTGCCCCCTCCCCGGCCCGCATGCCATCAGTGGGTATGTGTGCGCGCAATGAGATGCTCCATTAGTGCTGTCGGTTCCTTGCCAATTGTGCTTGCTTCTCGTAAGTTATTTATATAAAAAGAGAAATCACTAATGGACTCTACTGGTTTGAGTGCTTCTGAACTGGATGAAGGATCTCCCATATGTTTGTATAATTAATTGCCATAATAAACTTTGATGAGTTACAAGTAGTGTTGTGGCTCCGGAGGGTTTGAGATGTGAAGATGTGGCTGCTTGGCGGGTATTGATTTCCTGTGCAGCCTTCAGGATCCCGCTCTGCTGAAAGGCCTCTTTGATTCACATCCACAAAGCCTCGTCTATCTGGATGTCGTGTCTTGAGCTGCTGCCCTCCCCTGCTCCTTCACCCCCCGGGCCTGGCTCTTCCAGAATTTCCCCTTCCTCCACCACTCTGGTTTTCCATCTTGGGCGTTTTCACGCTGGAGCCTGCCTGTTCTCGTCCTAGCAGAGCTTGGGCTGTGTGAGGCCGCAGGGCCCCACTAGGGGGCGCTTAGGCCTCAGCCTAGCTTGGGAGGGGCTCTTTCCTGCCACCTGCTGGGCTGACGAGGACCCTCTGGTCTCAGCCTCTCCAGGATGCCCAGCTGGGGTCAGAGGCTTCCCATCCAGTTTCTAAACTGGGATAGAGGGGCAGCGGGCTACTAAACTGGCTGTGGAGCAGAGAGGTCTTCTGCCTTTGCCCAGCCTGCCTCCCCCCAGCTCTCCCTGAGCTCAGCTGGTTATCGGGAGGCCTGGGAGGGCATCTTCTGCTTTCAGCAGAACCTGGGGAGACCAGGTTTCTAATGGACCCTCAAGTCAGCCCTTCTGCTTTTCCTTTCCTGCAAGGTGACAAGGGCAGGCTGCCTGTGGTGATGCCCAGAGATGCAGAGAGTCGCCAATATTGGATACTCAACAGGGCTGCACGTTTTGTTAAGCTTTAGATGTACATTATCTTGTGGGGTCCTCTCAACAACTGTTTGACGTCCAAGCTTAATCAAGTGGAGGAGACTGCAGGGTGGGTGGTCCAGTGACCAGGTCACACAGCCCAGAGGGGCGGGGGCTTGCTCCTGGCTCTGTCAGACCTGGCTGCAGGGGTCCCATGGTGATGCCTTTGTGGCATCAGAAGTCCTCAGGCTTTGAGGGATCACAGTCCTGAGAAAAGCTTAGGGAATCTAAGCCCACGGCTGACAGTCCCCTGGGCTCTGGTCAAATGTTTACTGCCCTTTGCCCCCTCCTGCACTCTGGCTTTGCCTTGCAATTGTGGGGGGCTGAGGACACAGGACACCAGGGGGGAACTAGAAGACGACTTGGCTTTGTAGGAAGAAGCTGAAAGTCTCACTGGGGGGGCATGATCAAGTCACCTGCTTTGGGTTGGTCCCAGAGTGGTGGCAGGGTGCACCAAGGGGTGAGGAGAGGAGACACCACTTCACCACTTCCCAAGAAAGGGCTTGGAGAGCTGCTTCAGCTGGTCACCCAGTGTGTGGCACCCCTGCTGCTCCTCGCTCTCCCTTCTCCCCAGGCCCTCCACACCTTAGATCTAGCACATTCTGGCTCACAGGCACTCCCCACGCCCCCCTCCCCATCCTGCATCCGCCATATGAAATCATCGGTGCCCTTTGCCAGACCGCAGTGGGGCTCTAGCTGCACGGACGAGGACAGACCCTAAGTGTCACATGTAGAGCCTCAAAGAAATTCCTAGCAGGGTAAGGACAGGTGGCTGTGTTCGTGGGGCGAGGCCACTTGAAATGTCCTTTCAGCTGTTAGGTTAGTTCCACTCAGTACTCCCAGATCCTAGAAGCATGACAACTTCGAAGCTAGACTTGGTGCTCGGTAGTCTAAGTGAGCTTTCCTTTTGGGTCCTCCATTTTCTTGACTTGACGTGAGAAGAACGTGCTAGAATCAGGCTGCACACTCAAATGCCTCCGAGGGTCGGGGTGGGTAGGTAACATGATTTAGGGGAGTGGGCCGGAGTGTGGGGGATACACAAGTGAGTGCAGCCCTCGCTGGTTGAAGTGTGGCCCTGCTCTGCTCTCGCAGGAATGTGGACCTGGAGCCTGGTCACGGCAGGCATCCTCTACAGCTGAGGGGGTGGCTGTGGGAGTTGCTCACGGGAGGAGCAGTGCTGACCCCACAGCCCGTGGGCTGTGTCTACCCACCAAGGCTAGAACTTGACAAAGGTGCCTCCAAGGCTGAGATGGTTCCTATTCAAGTTGCTTAACCAAACAGATCTTTTCAGAAAGGCATCACTCAAGCCTACCACCACTTGGCAAACAGTTTTCTAAACAGACTTTTTGCCTCAACGCAGCTCTTTTTTGAGGGCTGTTTGTTTTTTAAGTAGGCCATGGTGGCGTTGAGGCCACTGTATGGTGGCCCAGCTAGAGATTAAAGAGCTCTGATCCAACAAAGGCGCTGGTGGGAGACACTTGGTACCTGGCATCCGTTGCTCCTCCCTGAGGGCAGCCTCTCAGTCCCTGTGAGGAACCCTCCTCCTTGACATGCATAGGAGGGTGACTGGGTGTCTGTTTTCTGGATTCCCAGCATGGCCAGGGGCAGATCCACACCCTGAGCTCAGCCACTGGGCTCCCTTGGGACTCTGAGTCCTGAGCAAGGGGAGGGCGGAGGCCCTGCTGGAGGGTGTTGGTAGGGACAGAGTGCTGGCCGGACTCTTCCGGCATGCTAGTGCCACCCCCTCCCCTGCCATATCCTTCTAGTAAGTTCCTTTTGCTCTTTAGAGTTGGCTTCTGTGGCTTGGACTATTGATCTCTGTTGCTCCCAGCAGATACAGTGCCAAATCGTTTGGAGAAAGGCCCCACACCCAAGGCGTGTTACCCTGCTGCTTGGTCTCCTCAGGGCGCTGTCTGAGGCTCATGGGCTTAGTGAGGCCCGGCACAGCCTCTCCCTGTGCTGGACTCCCTCTACTGGCCTAGGTAGATAGTCTCCTCCTGCTCCTGCTTAGGAAACCCAGGCACCCAGGACTAGGTGTGTGTCTAGGCTCTCCGAGGAGTAGAGGAGACTAATTCAGTTGAGGGATTTATTTAACCCAAAGGAATGTTCGGCCCATTCTCTGACTCTTGAGTTAGAAGGTTAACCATGATTGGCTGAAACTACTTTAGTCTTGGATTTTTACCTGCTGTGTGCAACAAAAACCCAAATGGGCTGGGATTCAGTAGGGACCCCTTTAAGCAGAGCCCTGGGGTGGCACCGATGCCCTTGAGCTTGACAGCCAGCCGTCCCTGCTCTCTGTTGGGGGGGCGTCTTTCAGTGAGGGGCTGTGGAGAGTCATAAGATGGAGGGGAGGTGATGGGGCTCTGGGTCAGGCGGCCACGTGAAGCCTGGGTGCCCCACACGACCCTTTGCTGGCAGCCGCTGTGACGTGCTAAGCTGTCTCTGCATCAGGTGTGCAGCCCTCTGAGCACAAGGCTGCAGAGAGGCCCCTGCAGGCACCCCTTCCCATGGGCATCCCCAGAGGGATCCAGGGGGTGGAGCCCAGACTGAGGAGGCCAGGCACTCTACCTCTCAGGAAGGAGAAAAAGCATTATTTACAAAGAACTTATGAAAAATACACTAGAGAAATATGCCCCCTTTCCTTCCCCAGGTGTGAGCTTCCTTGTCAGTCCTCACTGGGGTCAGAGTCTGGGTTGAGAGCCGCTTCCGCTCCGGTGCTGCTTCCCACAGACGGGAGGGGGCTGCCCAGGGCTGGACCCCACGTGTCTCTGCTTGGGAGGGCTGCTTGGTGGGCTCTGCCCTTTCACAGCTTCCACACTCGGAGCGGCTGCCGAGCGGTGCTGGGCGTCTCCATGTGGGCCGGGCGCCAGCGGGGAGACGGCAGAGCTGGCTGCAACTGCCGGGCGGGTGGGAGGATGCATTTGAAGGGCATCTTGCCTCCATCCACGTTCTGGC